GCCCCTTTATACACCCAGCTGCGGCCTGATAGGGGTGTGGCCCAGCTGCAGCCATTTCCCCATTCAGCCTAGCTTTTCTTACCCTCAGCCCTGGCTCTCTCCCAGGGCTGGCTTTTAACCCCCACAGGGCAGGAGTGGGTAACCACCCCGCTATACTTCCCATCTACGTTGTACAAAAGTTTACACTTGTGCGCCAGTAAAAACAATTCTCTTGTATTGGCTTCTTGTTTCACTTTTGCTCTTTGAATTTTTTTTTAAATCTTAACAAGTGAAACTAAATGGTTGGTGCTTCAAATGCTTTAACCGTACCAATTTAATCTGCATGTTAAATGCCCTAAAGGTGTGAAAAGTTGTAAGTGGGAAGCTAGGTATTAGCAAGCTTCACTGAGTGGTAATCAGCATACATTATCCCAATACCAGTTCCCCAATACAGGTGCGTAGCTTCTTTCGTGCATTTAACATGCGCGAATTCAGCTTTGTGTGATCTGCAAAAAAAAAAGAGAGAGAAAAATAATTTAAAATACTGTACCTGTAGTGCGGGTGATTCTGCCTGCCATTACACTCAATGTAATATTGACTATATGCGATTTTCGCTTTATGCACTGACTGCAGAACGTAACCCCAGCATAAGATGAGACTCGCCTGTAAATGTCTGATTTAGCTAATGTTCCATATGAGACACTAAAGTGGGTGCTACATTAATAAATGAATATAAGAGACTTCAAATTACAGGTATGTTCCTCAGATGGTCATTCCTCCTCCATCTCCCAATGGATAACTTGATCCGGCCAAAAGAGCTGCTGTTTGACATCTTTTTCCAAATTCAGATACAATAGTATGCTTAAGCAATAAATGTTGAGTACTTTACAGAGTCTATAGGACTTTCTGTCAAAGAACTAGAGGTCAGGTGGGAATAAAGTAAACTGTAAAGCTGAAGGTCTTGAAAAGCCTACTACAGAGAGTTTCAAGTCATCTGCTATTCCAAGTGTATGGTTTGTTTGGTTTTTTTTTAACTAATCAGTGAGATATATTTTTCAAAGTACTTTTCAAATAAAAGTAATTATACTTTTAGCACAAATGAATATTTTACCATTTAAACATCATAGACTAGCACTAAATCGCATCATGAAAACCATAAGGTTTGTTAATAATTGCAGAATACCATTGCTCTAATGCATATTCAAGATGCCATCTAATGCATTTTAGCGAAAGAGCAGGCTTTTTGCAGTCACAAATCACAATAACAATGTTCTAATTATGTTTGACAGGCATATATATCATGATTACAATAGCAAAAGCAAAACTATAAAAGGTTTCTTGGGGATATTCTTTTAAATGTAGAGCAATCATGCGTAAACCATAGAAAGCAGATTCCATGTTGTAAATTTTCTATTTCTGGACAAAAGCATCTCCCAATTAGGAAATCTTTGACTGGTTATGTCAGGCAAGAAGCTATCAGTCTATGGATGGGTACAACAGTTGTTACCAGATAAAGTTTTTCAATCCAATCCCATATTAAATATTTCCCAGTAGTATTCAGAAGCATCTTCATCTGTTCCATATCACAAAACAATCTCTTTGAACAAAAACATGACTCTCTCTCAAAGCACTATCTTCAACAAACAAACAAATGTTACCACAATGATTTAGGGTTCTCTGGGCTCAGACAAAAAATGGAAACATATGTACTTGCAGAAATTTCTGGAAAGCACTAGGTCAATCTAGTATTAAACTAAAAGATATAGACGCTCAGTTTTTTAATAAAGTACTTTGAAGAGGAGAACTAAAATCTGGAAATGCAAGTGAATGTGGATAGACAGAGATGGATTTTAAGTTAGTCTGTAACTTTAATAAACTTAACCCCAGAATGCCCCATTTCCCCATACCAGGCATTTAAGTAGATCCAATCCAATCCCATCTAACCTATAACTCAGGATAGGCAGTGGAAAGTTTATCCTTACAAGTCAGCTCATTCTTCTGAATCTTCTCACCTTCCCCCCTGCGAAAGGGACAGAAGGTACCAAAGAGGGACCCTGGTCTCTACATATTTCCAGTCTCCCCTTTTCCCATAGGCCCAAGGTTTGACTGCAAAATCCTAAGTCTCTTATTTCTGGGCACTGGCCCTTTTGGCTGAACTAAACATTCATACAATTCTCATTATTAAATGTCTGACTCCTATTCTTAGCTGGGTCTCCATGATGCTGCAAGGAAAGGGGTTGAGGGGAACAGGTGATCCCTCAGATCCACAGCATCCTAAAAACACACACTAAATACAACATAACTAGAGGCAAGGAGGGTGGATTCAGCTAAAATGGGGCTATGGGCTTGAGAAACTCAGGACAAAAGGTTTAAATAACTATTGTGGTGAGCAAGGAGCCAGTAGGCTTCTGCGGCTTTAAGACTAGCCACTGGAGTGTCCAGGGGGAGGAGGGGTCTAACCCTGCCTATACTCCCCCTTTAATTCTAAACCTCTCCAGCAACTTGCAGATCCAATCAAGTCTCCCACCTGTAAACTAGGTGGGCAGCCATTTTGGAGGACCTGACCGTACAGTCACCTGAGAAAATGGTTTTTAACTATATTCCATTGGGCACCTCCTGGGCCATTCCAATGACAAACATTTGTTCTGATGAAGAGTTTGAATGGGTCATTGGTAAAGGGTCATCCCTGGCCAAGGATGTTTTAGCTGTATTTAAAAAGATGGCGGAAATCCCCCAATCCCACATTCTATTCAACTATTGTGCCAGTTCATAGGGTAGCTGAGAAGTGACATTTTTTACTGATTACGGTTAACATATTAATAGTTCCATGTAATCATAGCCTAATTTGTGGGGCTTAAATTCACCAATTAGCATCCATTCATCCTGAGGGTAAATAAGTTTTCAGCTCAGAGAATTGTGAATGGAAGCATGAAACTTAAGAATCTGTGCAACTAGTACCTTTAAAGAAATGCAGTTTTTTCCAAAGAAAATGTTTTGCAAAGATTCACAGGAAGGGTTTCATATAGTCTTGGCTCACTGTGCTCAACATCAGGGGGAGAGTCAATTTTCTCTTTCCAACCATATACCGCTGCCAGGTGTTCAGCTTCCTCAACATTCTTTGTAGCAACAACTTGCAGGATCAAGCTTCTTGTTTCTCAACTATCTAAGGGTACGTCTACAGTATGAAATTTTGAAATTATTGTATTCGAATTTTCAAAAGTGATTTTATACATTCGGTCTTGTGTGTCCCCACTAAGCGTGTGAATTCAGCGGAGTGCGTCCACAGTACCAAGGCTAGCATCGAATGTCTGAGTGGTGCACTGTGGGTAGCTATCCCGCAGTCCCCGCAGCCCATTGGAATGATGGGATAAGCTCCCAGTGCATGCTGGCGCAAAAAACATTCTCGTGGGTGTTTCACGGTGTGTGTCATCAGTCGCTCCTCCCTACGTGAAAGCTATGGCAGACAATCATTTTGCGCCTTTTTGGTGTGCAGACACCATACTGCTTTCAGCAGACAGTGCAGTACAGTGCACTGCTGCTCTCCTGCTACTATGAATCCACCTCGCATTTCCTCTCATCTTCCTATGTAATCTCTATAATATCTACTCTTTCTCTTCCTCGTCGACCGCTTCCGCTGCCAACTCTGCTCAGCCATCGTGAACTGAGCAGCACAGCTTCCGCCGCCAATGCTGTTCTCCCGCTCTTGCCGCGCTACTGAGCCTTTCCATGTTGTCTGCCCTGGGCTCCTGCCTCCTTGAAAGCTACAGAAGACAACCATTTCCCACCTTTTTTTGGCTATCGTGATCCGAACAGCACCTCTCCACTGCCACTCTGCTCTCCTACGTTTCGTGCCCTTTTTCCAGGATTACCTGTGCAGGTGCCATAGCGCAGCAAGCATGGAGCCCGCTCAGATCTCTGCTGCAGTTTTCACCATTGTAAATACCTTGCACATTATCCAGCAGTACCTGCAAAATGGGGTGAGGAAGCAACGACAGCACGATTACGATACTGATGAGGACATGGACACAGGCGTTCCTAGAAGCACAGCATGTGGCGATTGGGAGATCATGGTGGCGTTGGGCCAGGTTCATGCCATGGAACGCCGATTCTGGGCCCGGGAAACAAGCACAGTGGTGGGACCGCATAGTGTTGCAGGTATGGGATGATTCCCAGTGGCTGCGAAACTTTTGTATGGGTAGGGCCACTTTCATGGAACTTTGTGACTTGCTGTCCACTGCCCTGAAGCGCAAAGACACTAAAATGAGAGCAGCCCTCACACTTGAGAAGCGAGTGGCCATAGCCCTGTGGAACCTTGCAACTCCTGACAGCTACCAGTTGGGTCGCAAATCAGTTTGGAATGGGCAAATCTACTGTGGGGGCTGCTGTGCTGCAAGTAGCCAATGCAATCATTGACCAGCTGCTATCAAAGATAGTGACTATGGGAAATCCGAAGACCACTGTGGATGGCTTTAATGCGCTGGGGTTCCCTAACTGTGGCGGGGCAATAGACGGAATGCCTGTGATGGTGGACTGTGCTCATGGTCACCTGTGCTGATGAGATCGCCACGGTGACCAAACAGGAAATGAAATTCAAAAGTTCCCGGGGCTTTTACTGCCTACCTGGCTAGTGCATCGGAGTTGACAGTGTTGTCCAGAGCGGTCACAAGGGAGCATTCTGGGATAGCTCCCGGAAGCCAATAACGTCAAATTGCGTCCACAATTAACGTAATTAATTAAATTAACACAATTAATGTAACCCGGAACTGCGATCTCTACTTTAGCGCTACTCCACTTGCCGAGGTGGAGTACAGAAACCGGATTAAAGAGCCCTTTAAATAGAAAAAGCCGGTTTGGTTGTGTGGATGGAATCAGTTTTATTTCAAATTAACTCGCTAATTCCAAAATAACTGCGTACTGTAGACGAGGCCTTAGGTTTCAGTAAAATGGTCTTAAAAGATGCAATAGTATCAAACACATAGTAATATACTGTTTGTGCTAAAAAAAAAGCCAAAACCCATAAATGATTTTTAATTTTAAACATGTTTTATTGGTAGGATAGACTTGCAACAACATTCTTCAGCAGCTAACATCTTCAACACCTGAGAACTGCCTTCTAACAGTCTACCTGTTTTATATTATGCAAAGAAAAAAAAATTACTAGCAAGTTTTGGCTGTGGTTTTTTTTTTTTTTTGGTTGGTCAACGTAGTGCTATAACTTCTTGCTTGTCCCTCAGAATCTCTTCCTCCTCATCTGTATGGCTTTCATCACAGTCTCTAAAAATAAAAAAACAAAAAAAACCCCACACAATACAATGATTATCAACAGTTTGTGCTCAAGGTCCTCAAGGAAACAAATCCTGGTAGGATTTTTTGGTCCTGTTTCTCATACTCATCTAATGTTAACTTGATTTATCATATTAAAAAAGGTATGACCGTTGTGCAATCGGTAAATTGTAACAAAGTATACTTTTGGCCAAAACTACCGCGTCCATTTATTTTTCTCAACTTCGGACAAGTTGTTTCTCAACTCTCTCAACTAGGCTTGGCAGGATTTGATTTTCTTAAAATAATTTCACTGGATGATATCAATGTTTATTTTTAAGCTTTTTAATTTTCATCAATTTAAATGTTAACAGTTGTGCAAAATTATGGGTGGGGCAGACAATTATTTAATTACAGTAGATTTTGAGATTTTAAAAGTTAAAGCTTTAACACCATTAAACACAAATGGAATATTTTGATGCTGATAAAGTAAATGTCCTTAAAATCAAATTTTAATAGGTTATCAAGCAGTTTCTTACTTTCCTTATGTGTAAATTTTGATTATCATCGAAAAAATATTTCCATCAGTTTGTGTGTGCATGGTGAAATCAACAAAGTTCACCAACATTTACTAATGAAAATCTAATCCTTCCAACCCCACTCTTAGCTAAGTGGTGAGTCAAAAGTACCTTCCTTATCCTGTCTCACCTGAAAATCCCAAATCCCAGAATGAATAAGCTAAGTAAGGGGTTTTCATTTGTGCCATCATCATTGGTTTAAATAGCAACCAAGAAAAAAAACAAACTAAAATTTGTTTGAAATAGCTTTCTAGAATCTTGAGCATAACATTTCTTCTGCTACTGTTTTTATTTAATTTGCAAATTTTGTTTAATTCCCTGTTGACATGCACCTGCTTCATTATTAAACAGGTTTCATTTCCAAAACATTGTACAAAGTTTAACTAATCCTTTGAGATAGAATCATTATTATTTCCATTTTATAGATGAGTTAACTGAGAGGCAGAGAAGTTAAGTGACTTTTCCTAAGGTCATGTACAGAATTCGTGTCAATCAAAGGATTTTCTGGTTTTCAGTCACATGCTCAGTCCACTGGACCATCCTGCACCATAACTGATGACAGAAACATTGATTCCATAACTGTTCTCATTAACCTATGCCTTTTGGTTAGTTGGAAAACAGTTCCCACAGCAAACTGTCGAGGACTTTCATTAACAGCTGCAATTTTTATGTGTCTTGGCAACAGGGCAAGGTATTTAAAACCAAAACCCAACATTAATAATCCATAGGCATTTACCAGCAAATTACACCATTTTCATGATTTCTGATAGCTTTCCCTCCCCCATGAGAGTTGCAACAAATTTCCTATCACCTAGACCTGTCCACACTCTATTCTTTCAGATATCTAGCAACTAGCAGTGTCATTCTACTTTCCTGGCAACAGCAATCATACCACTCTAACTGCCAGATATCAAATTCCAAGTAACGTATCAGAGGGCAGATGCAGAGGACATGGTTAAATGATGGAATTGTACAATTTTTTTTTATCAGACATCAAGCAGTGACTGAGAAAATGGAAACATCTGCACTGCAATGGTCCAGAAAAGGCTTAAAAACAATGTTCAGTGAACCGTGCACAAGAACTAATGTTTTCCAATAAAAAACATAATTTCATTATTTTCTTAAATTAAGATTACACAAGTGAAAATAAATTAGTCTAGCTATGTAAATTACTTTGTGTGGTCATGAAATTTCACATTTAATAAATGGGTCCTTACAATTTTATTTCTAACGAAGAATAACTCTCTCCCCAATCACAGATGTCATGAGTTAGCTAGAAATTACTTGGCTAATTTACACAAGCAGCATATTTTTAGATTTATATTACTTCTACCCCAATATATTGCTATAATCTTGGTGGCTAGGGACTATTTTTTCTTATTTTTAATGGACTGTATTCCCTTACAATTTTCATCTTTACATGTTATATTAACTCTGTGATTTAACAAAACATTGTGCAGTGTAACAAACATGTTAGGGCATTTTTTAATTCTTTTAAAAATCCCATCAATATAGTAAGTCATTCAGATGAAACACATATACTAATAATTGTCCCTTTAAAAAAAAAAGTCAATGAGTAGTTTGCCAGTCAAGCATTTTACTAAACAGCTAAAAAAAATAATCAGCAGGTTTAACTTACCTACAAATATCAACTCTACTGTGGTATTTTATTTCTAGGTTATTATGGAAATCTGTAATATTTTCACTTATCTTCTTTGAATGTCTGCTGAAGGTGGATAAGTCTTCAGAGGTAAAGCTGTAAAGCTTTTCCTGAGAATCTGAAATATTTTGTAATTTTCAGTAGCCTATGTAACAAAAGTGCAGTATCTACAATATATGGTCTCTAAAAACTCTCTCAGAACAGTATAGTCATATCAGCAAAAAACATGACATCATTAAGATAACAGTGATAAAACACTCTGGTTTCAGATGTTACTGGAAACACAAATTAATTATAACTTTATTATATGGTTGCATCAGTGTTTCTATTATTTTCAAGAGTTCATAGTAAGGACAAAATACCACAACTTAAAGATTGAAACACATGGTCCATCAGCAGCTGCTACTATAGTTGCATACATTCCTATGGTCTTGAAATACCATAGATAGGGTAGAGAGACCTGATTTACTAGTTCACAATACTTCAAGAAGACTAAACAACATGGATCCCCACTCCTGGTGATATGTATGCACCAAAAGTTATATGGTCACTATGATTGCTAGAGGCTGCACCACTTCTTTATGACACTGAAGATACATAAGATAATATAGCCCTAACTATCCCTCAATTACTTCCACTTTTTCAGAAGCCTGTAGCAAAGTCTGAAGAAGTGGTGTCAGAAGCAGAAATTAAGAGTGAGACCATCTGACAGTCTTCTCAAAAGTCACTGGTATTTTATTTCTCCTTCTCCTTTGAGTATTGTCAGCATGCATCCTAACCCCTGGGAGATTAGCAGCAACAGAAACCTACAAGGATGTGAATTCGATGAGAATTAGTTAAATGACAACTGCAGGCCTGAAATGTGCATCGTAACTCAAAACCAAGACTAAAGTAATGCTGCATGAACATATACATGGAACTCTAAAGTACCAGCAGTATATGTCTCAATGATGGAAGAATCTCTTGAGTCTGGACTACAGCTTCCATGTATCATGTTGCATCACGGCCAGGGACACCCAGGAGGCACCATGGTGGCTCATCAAGAGGAGACCATGATATATTATGGGAAATGAAGCCTAGCCCATAAAGGAAATCTGAGGCATTAAGCACCCAAACTACAACTTCTATGAGGGACTGCGCCACACCTGGAGTATTGTGTCCAGTTTTGGTCCCCACACTACAGAAGGCATGTGGACAAATTGGAGAGCGTCCAGTGGAAGGCAATGAAAATGATTAGGGGGCTGGAGCACATGACCTATGAGGAGAGGCTGAGGAAACTGGGTTTATTTAGTCTGCAGAAGAGAAGAGTGAGGAGGGATTTGTTAGCAGCCTTCAACTACCTGAAGGAGGATTCCAAAGAGGATGGAGCTTGGGTGTTCTCAGTGGTGGCAGATGACAACAAGGAGCAATGGTCTCAAGTTGCAGTGTGGGACGTCTAGGTTGGATATTAGGAAAGAGTATTTCACAAGGAGGGTGGTGAAGCACTGGAACGTGTTACCTAGGGAGGTGGTGGAATCTCCATCCTTAGAGATTTTTAAGGCCCGGCTTGACAAAGCCTTGGCTGGGATTATTTAGTTGGTGTTGGTCCTGCTTTGAGCAGGGAATTGGACTAGATGATCTCCTGAGGTCTCTTCCAACCCTAATATTCTATGATTCTATGATTTCTAAATTAAAAATTTTGGTTTTCAATTTTTCATCAAAAAGTTTAAATTGTCTGAAAGCAAAAAAAAAAAAAAAAAAAACAAAAAACATAACCTTATCCAACCATCTCTATTCACCATGAATTGTCTTCATAGAGGTGGACTTAAAAAAACAAAAACAAAAAACCACAATCCCAGGAGGGAAGTGTTTCTTTGCCAACACTGCCTGATAACTGGCATGTGTCATCTTGAAGATGACACATTAATAAGATTTCCTTCTTGGCCTCTTTTTTCCTCCCTGTTTGATTTGATCCTGGTGGCAGGGTTCATTTGCTGTGTTCATTATCAAATATCAAGGAAGCAGGTGGCTATTAAAATACTCAGACCCAGAAGGGGTACCTGACACATCCTGTCAGATTTCTTTGATAGACATGCAGGAGGTGAGATAAGTATGAGCTGTCTGCAATTTGTTCCTATGGAGCTGAGCTGAAGATTATGTGATGGTTAAAAGTAAGAAGACCGTTCTATTAAGCCAGAAACCTAGAGTTTTGCATAGCCCAGAAGGATGCAAGTACTTTGTGCTGGATCAGGTCTTTAATCTTCCACAAATCAGAGCTCAAATAATGATCATGAACACAACAATAATGTAGTTTGCTTTACATTTTTGCATGCATAAACACAGCTAAATTACTCTTATGTTCTCACTGTAAGTAATTACCTGTATGACTTTTTAGTTCATTTTCCAAGCCAGCTAAGGCTTGTTGATCAGCAGTATATTCTAAGAGAGGGTCATTTTGTTCAGTTACATCAATGCATTCAATTTTTGAAATTTCAGTAGCAGCTCTAGATAAGGGCTGAGTAGTTAAATTTCTTGGTCTTGTCTGAGAGTGTGTACAGCAGATACCATCAGATTTCATAGATTTAGAGGATGGTATATTTGCTGACAAAGGTCTTTGGAAACTATTATCTGAAAGAAAAACAAAACAATCATTATTGCCTTCTAATTGTGAATCATGATTTTAGATGTATAATAGAATTTGATCTCACTAATGTCATTTTCTGTAATTAAAGTAATAAATTAGTATTAGTCTTGGCAGAATCTGATTTTTAAATAATTTTGACAGATAATATTGATTTAGATTTTAAGCATTTTTATCAATTTCAGTTTTCACAGTTGTACAAAATTATTGGAGGGCAAGCACAGTAAACACTGAGATTCAAAAAAGTTAAAGATTTATAACCATTATAACATAAATTGTATATTTCAACACTTGATGCTGATAAAAGTAAATATTCTTAAATCAAATTGTAATTTAAAGTTCTCAAGTAGTGTTTTTCTTACTTTGCCTATCTATACATTTTGATTATCATTGACAGAAATATTTTTCATCTGTTTGTATGTGTGCGGTGACAACAATTAGTAAAAATCTAATCCTTCCAAGCCTAACTATTATTACTGAACATGTACATAACACAATGAAAATTATAATTGGCATCTGATACTCCTTTTATAGTGCCATATAACTTTCTGGAAAAAAAGTATTCTAGATTGCAAGTTAGCACACTTGGTCTGTGTGGCATAGAATATTTTTCTGCCATGTTTAAAACTATTTGGTTCTGCCATTTTTGATGTGTATAAAAATAAAATAAGAGTGTATAAACAAAAATAAATAAAATTTCAGATTTTTTGCACTGAATTCAAAATTGATTTTAAAATCGGTCAAGTAATACTTTCCAAACAATGAAAATGTCAACTTGGTTGCTCAGGATGAGAGAAGAAATATGTGAGCTGTGTGTCTTGGGAGGGAGATAGTTGAGGTTGAGGATAACTGATGAGATGAGAGAAGAATCATTTAACTGATCATTCCTTTTGTTTGTTATTATTTAGCATTTGTAAGATAATAGCACTTAAAGGCTCTGACTAAGATCAGGACCATATTGTGCTAAGCACTGTACAAACATATAGTAATAGAAAATCCCTGCTCTAGAGAGGTTTATAATTTAAATAGACAAGACAGACAAAGGGAGAGAGTGGAAACTGAGGCACAGAGAAGTGGCTTACTAAAGGATATGAAATCTAAGTTTTAAAATAAAGTAAACAAAGTTGTTTGTATGGAAGTTGTGAGAAAGATGGTTTGAGTATATACCGTTCAATATGTTATTTAATTTTTACTGTTGGTGAAGACATGAATATATTATATTCAACAGTGTGGCCACAAGCATTTGCTACTGCTGCTTGTTAAATGTTTAAGAGGTGCTTGATACATATTTTAAGAACACGTAATACTGAAATGGAAATTTTAAAAAAGAAAGCTTTAAAATGGTTAAAAACTGAGTGCAGGATCTTATCCATGGCTGGAAAAGTAAAGTGAGCTGTGTTTGGCCCTAGAATAGTTATTTGCAAATAAGTACTGTAATACATTCTGTTTTGTTTTTTCTAGTGATTAAGTGAACTGAAATAGCCAAGATGACCTTGGGATATGTGCCTGTTATACACATATCTTCGAACATGGGGGCTCCAAATTGAAGTGCCATCATTTACAGTATTTCTGGAGTATGGACAGCAGAAAATGGTACTTCTGAAAATGATTACACAATTATCTGTAACTATCATTGTATGACGTATCATTTCTTTAATAAAAATGTTGATATAATTCTTCATTTAACCTATTACAGAGCTGCTGCTTCCCTCAATAAAAATCCTTAAAATCTCATATCATCATCATCTACTACCCACCCCCTACTGTGCACCCAGAAGGGGAGATAAATCCAGATTAAGGACTAATATCCTATTGATTTGTAGCAGATTACACCATACCATGCATTTTAATTTCTTAGGTGCAAATCAGTGGAAATTTAGTTTGTGAAAATTAGGTATTTCAGATACGAGGCTGTTTTTAGTATTAGAATCAAATAATAAAAATTTGGCTCTGATAAAAAGAAATTGTTTTCTAATATATAAGATTTCCTGTAAAGACTCTTCTTTAAGCAAAGGCAATTTCAAACAATTAGCTAGTAAAGTATTTGCAACTAAAGTTTAATGGCCAATATACACTATAAGCTGTTACAAGCTTTTTAAGATTATAAATGTTCCTAAGGTGTATTTACATTGAGTTAAAATAAAAACTACAATTTTTAAAAAGTTTTAAAAGAAAATATAAATTCTTCTGCCTGAAAAAGGGAAAGGCAGTGGAGACAAACAGTTCCAACTTGTGTAGTACAAGAACGAACAAATCAGATTTCTCTCAAGCCTGTCTGCCTGTTTCATAAAGACCAGTGATACAGGACCAAGATAAACTGGTTATATTTATGAGACCGTTTTGCATTCAACTATAGTACAGGTACATCATATTCGAAAACTACCATAAAGTGAAAATTCTTAATGATGTCAATTACTCTCTTCGTACAACTTAAACTACCTTGGAACTTTGAGTTGTCATACACCTTCAAATCTACAAGTTCCCTGGTGATGACAGTGAGTTAAAAATGTGAACCACCATGAAATTTAATCATGCAGTCATTGTGTATCTTTCAACACAGTAAGCTCCAGAGAGAAATGGTTACTACCTATTTTTTCTTTTTATATACTTTTATTACTCTCTCACAGGCTCTTTTTAGATTTTAGATCAATTTTATGATGTGTTCTCTGGATTTTTGGAGACCAGGCAAATTGTTGCAGTGATGCACTTGCAGATTTATTTATTCACACTATCACCTGTACTAACCACATCTTTCCAACTACTTCAGGGCCAGATTCAACTCTCAGGGAAGAGTCCATAGCAAAGCCTTCACTGAATTCACTAGACATTGATAGGATATGCTATAATAAGCTGTATGGGAAAAGTCAAAGAAAAGATGGTTAAAATTAGTGGACTCAGTCTAAGGGTTGTGCAACACAGAAGCCAGCACTTAATATGTCTGGAGGCTACCGTATGTTGGTATTGCTGTCTGCCTGTTGCCAGGCCCAACTACTGTTATACCTCAAATACCGATAGGTAGGGAAAGCAAGCTGTCATGTAGCTCCTTGCACCTTTAGTGAGCTCCTGCTGTCTGATGTTGAGCTCACCGTCAGCCCAACCCTAAATGCTGGCATCTGGAAGACCTTTGGGAGTACGATTAGAGAAGCACAGTCTGACTTCTGAGTTTGTTATTGGATTTATCCATCTTTCAAATTGAGTTTGCATGATTTTTATTTTTGGAGATACGATTGAGGCAAAGTTGGGGATCCTGGTCTAATTTTTTTTTTTCAGTATTCCCCAGATTACTTGAGGGACAACTGAGTATGCTTCAGATTTTTCATTTTTCCCAATATCTAAATCTAAAGTTAAACTGGGTAGACTCTAAAACTACCTATTTTAGAAAAGAATAGTAAACTAGCATTCAAAAAAATAATTAATTACAAATTGTATCGGACAGATCTAAGCCCCCGAGCCAACAAATCACTGAAGCATGTGCTTAGCTTTAAATCAAAGGGACTACTGATATGTTAAATTTCAGAGTAGCAGCCGTGTTAGTCTGTATCCACAAAAAGAAAAGGAGTACTTGTGGCACCTTAGAGCTTATGCTCAAATAAATCTGTTAGTCCCTAAGGTGCCATGAGTACTCCTTTTGATATGTTAAAGTTAGCCTGGTGATTACCTAACCTGCTAAATCAAGGCCTCCAAAAATTGTTACCTTGTCAATATTCTTACCAGTGGGTGACCTGTGCATTAATGTCCATGATGAAACTCCAGCACATAAGTTTTGTTGTTCCAAACTACTTGAAGATCTGCTCAGTTCACTTTGCAAGACATCCTGTACTACAGAATCATCAGCATATTCACTTAAGCTAGTGTCTCTGAACCAATATCCCTTTCCTGAAATAAAAAATGCAACATAAATAGCACCAGGAAAATATTAACACTTTTTTCATGTGCATATTTATTTGGCCTGTGAGACTGTAGCTGCTGTATTATTTAATATCTTTATGTCCAGAGGTGGTCAACAGTGCTATAATTAAAAATTTCACACAACAAAACATACAAGTATATTTTCAAGTGATATGCAGATAATTTGTTATACATTTTGTATTTTACAGATTCTATACTTCAAGTAAGGATTTAGTAACTTTTAATTCATAATTTCAGATGCTTTAATGGAAGCCATTAGAAGTAACAAAAGAGGCATGATTTTAAGCAGACCATCACATCAAAATTTACTACCAGCAGAAAAGTGTGAAGACTGATCGGAGTCCAAATTCTCAGGTGACATAGATAGAGGGAGAAATCAAGTATGTTGGTGTAATTTACAACTTAAAATAGAGGGCTGATTTATCCTATGCTTTCTTACATTCCATTAGTTGCTCTTCTTGGCAGAGCAAAATATCATACCAATATCAACCAATTTATCATATTGACCTAAAAATTATACCACAGGACCTAGCACATGCTTATATAGAGGTAGAAATAAATCTATGCACAGATAAAGGCTATGATGCACTGCAACATAGGTACTCAATATGTAATGTTCAGTTGTGGAGGATTTTATTTCCAGATTGTTACCTGAAACTGAAGTACTGTTTGTAGAGCTGCAATCTGAGAAAGGTGAAGGAACTGAATCAAGTCTTACTTGCTTAGAATTTGTATGCAAAATAAAGAATCCCTCAAGTCCTTGATATTGGGTCAAAGTAGGTTTTTCTCTCAGGGCTACGTCCTGTAACAACTAGGATAAAAGACAAAATATTAAAGACCACTAAAGGCTTATATTGTCTACTTATACCAAGTCCATTTTAATACAATGTTCATGTCATAAAACCTGAAGTCATTCTAATTAATATAAAAATATTTTTGTGAAAGGTTTACAGTTTAAGACATGCAATATTTCTAAAAAAAAATCCTAAAAACCTTATCTTACTTAGTAGTCACCAAAGTAATCAGAGTATTACCTCCACTGATCTTCACACTTCTGTTAAACCATTGGGGGTATGACAACATAGGGATTTAAAAACAAAAACAAACAAACAAAAAAACACACACAGCTGGGCCAGGTCAGCTGACTCGGATTCATGCTCCAGGGCTGTAAAATCGCTGTGAAGATGTTTGGGCTTAGGCTGGAGACTGAGCTCTGGGACCCTGCAGTGGAAGGTCCCAGATCTCGGGCTCTAGCCCAAGCCTGAATGTCTGAATAGTGATTTTTAGCCCCGCAGCCTGAGCCCCGCAAGACCCAGCAAGCCACAACCATGGTGCGCATCTTTTATTCCAGTGTAGGCATACTGTGTGATCTGCAACCATCAAAAGAGAATCAAGATTAGTTGCCTTGATGAACACACAAAGACTGCATTCATAAATGGAAGCAAGCAAACAAATCAGCTCCGCAGACCTATTCAGTGAGAGATGTTTGAATACTATAGTTTCCATAGGAGGGCATGCTCAACCTCAGACAGCAAAGTTAAGGGGGAAGGGAGGGTGAGCAGCAGGCCACACAGAGCAGCCCTTCTGAGATTGCGACTAGTCGCCTGTTTTCTCTTGCTCTTTCTAAACTATCCCCATAGAAGACTGAAAGTGGGGGGTGAAAGCACTTTTATCCTCCCCAGTTGAAAGGCTGGGGCAGTGACAGCCAGCCCTCCTCCTGCCCCACTAAAATTTCATTCATGATTACCACTATTTTTAATGGAGTTACTTTGTTACTACGTATTAATGTGCAATATTTCATGGTAACTACTGTATATGGTTAACTACCAATACCACTCTACTGCATTGTGCCAAGATAAAATGTTGAAAAGGTGACAGGGCAATTATGCAATATTTATTTGAAGAATAGGTACAAAACATTTTACCACGGAAGCCTCTGTAGTTACAGGTAAAATCAAACTCTTGCTTGTGTGGAAACTGTCAAATTCCAGTGAATCTGTATTGTTTTTCAATGATCTTGTCATGAGGGAAGGTTCATTGCTGCCTAATTTAAGAAGATCAAAAGTCTTCTCAGGTGACATACAAGCACTAAGGGGTCTTCTATAAGTCTTTGTTTTAATACTTTCTTTTTCTGTTACAGCACTTTCATGAGAACTGCTGAGAACTGTTTCTTCTGTGCTAGAATGGATGCAATCAGTATAACTTCTTTCATGATTTACTGTAGATGTTCTTGCAGATGAAACTAAACAAAAAAAGGACAAACTGGATGTCTACAGATATTCTCAGGAAATTCAAAACAAAAATGTGCAGTCTTATAGCATTTCACTATTAGATAGCCCTAAGATGTCAAATAAGCAATTCATAAGGAAAACAATTGACTTTCATGTAAACTTACAGCTTGATTTTCAGAGATGCTGGGCAGCCAGAGCTCTCATCGAAATCTATGGGAACCACAGGTGCTCAGCTCCTCTAAAAATCAGACCCATAATAACTCATTATCCATGAATGTATTAAGTCATTTTGTATCTGACATTCCTAGAGGGGCAACTATCTCCAAGAAAACGCTTTATGAAATTGTAATTTTTCCTTTTAAAAAGGCACGAGATCTAATTGGAAACAGCTGAACAACTGCAATAGCAGCATTATATTTTCACTACAAAAAAGCGAGACGGCTACTTGGAAGTACATTTCTTTGAAAGCAGTAGCAGCTATGGATACATGCTCTCGGGACATGTATCTTTTGCATGCAGCACCAGAGTAATGATTAAGGGTTTTTTTTTCTTTTTATCTTAAGACATAGCTATTTGCCTTTCCTTCTCTGCACCCAAGGCCACACATAGCACACCTCACTGTCCAACTGTCAGTTTCTCTTTCACCGTTTGGGCCTGAGCTTGAACCAAATGCAAAAAAAGAGACTGGCTGAGCATGTAGAAGAACTAGTTTTTGACAGTTTGCAAGGAAGAAACAATTAAATGTAAAACATTAACCTAACATACTAATACTTTAAAACACTAATTATTAAAGAAAAATGGCATAGTAAAATAACCCAGTTTTCTGATTCTGGAATAAGAAAAACAAACTGTTTTCTGACTCGTGCTTAATAATGATTTCACAATACAAAGCTGCCACATTTTCAGATATCTTTCACTAATCCATCCACAAAATTTTGCAGGTACATCCATTTAAGTATTCAAATACTGCCTCCGTGCATGCAAATCAGACAGACAGCTAGCCAGGCATCCAGTCTGCAAACATTTGTTTACATAAAAATATATTCACAAATTGTGTGCATCAATCAATGTGCTCCATTAAAACTTTGAGTTAAGGGGCCATTCTGAGTGGTTGTATAAGCATACAGTCCATTTAACTCACATTCTCTAAAGAAACCTAGAGGCTTTGGTTCAAATCCTCACCTAGTATAATTGGGTCCTAATTATGCATGCCATAAACCCATATATTGCAAACATTATCTCTCCCTAATAATCAAGCTATAAACTTGTTTTTCTGCATGCCATATAATAATGCCACATGACTAAACTGAATATTCAAAGTAGTTTTAAAGAACAAATGTTTTTATTTTTGGCACAAAAAAAACATTGTATTTAACTGGTTACAATTTTGTCTGCTACAAACACAGAAAGATCATCATATAAAATACAGTACTGCCTACTAGAACAAAAGTTCTTTTCTCTCCCCCCATGTAAGGAAAGTGATAGCAAAAAATAATCTTACCAAAATTTACCTTTAGAAATTTCTTTAACGGGAACACTGCTTCTATCATGAGGAATGAAAAGGTCTTTTTTGTCAGATGTAGAAGCAGAATTACGAGATGTCTTGCTAGTTACAGCAGCAGCTGGTTCTGGTAAAAAGTCTGATATTGTATCCTTCTGATTTTCAGGTACTGCATCACTTTGGTTTGGTTTGGTTTTTTAAAATAAAAGAAAAAAGAAATTTCACACATAAAGGCTCCTAACAGACAATCACATCCAAAAGTTAGATAGTTTTTGGGAAGTCATGGAAGTTGCACAAGTGTCAATAGTAGTACTCTATATGAACTTTAATTTTTAGGACACAAAAGTGAAATAAAACAGTATTTAAAAAGATAAAAGGGCTTGATTACAGTGATTCATAATTTTGCCTGGACATACTAAATTAACCCAAAGGTATTGCTTTAAGAACATAATGTAATCATAGATACAGCTTTCAATAATATAGTGCCTCGGATTTCTTGGCATCCAAATCCTGATATGAAAGTACACAGAGGTCATTGTGAATGCAAGGAAAGATTTTCACTCATTCAAAAGCGTGTGTTGCACATTTTAAAGTGTGTTTTTATTTTAAAGTACCTTGCAACCTCTTACTCAGACAGGACCTTCACCAACAAGTCATCTAGGTAAGGTGAGATGAAAACCGTCCCACAGTGAAGAATAATGGAACAGTCAGGATCTTTGAAAAGACCCAGAAGGATGGGGAAGTCAAATGACAGTGTCATGTATTAAAGATACGAGTCACCTAACACAAACTGGATATATTTTTATGAGTAGGATGAAAAAATGCACATCATGGGCATCTTTAAATCAATTAATGCCAACAAGTCCCCAGATTCCACGGCTGCTTTGAATAAGCTGAGTCTCCATTGAAACTTATCATGAAAAAATTGAGCCTCTTCAGATCCAAGACAAGACTGTTCCCCTTCCTCTACCACAAGAATCTCTGCTTTTTCTGCGACCTTGCAACTGTTGCAAGCTAAATTGTGTGAACAAAGCCTGTCCGCCATAGATTTGCTGTTAATCTGGTGTCTTTTGCTACTTCATCTATGGGTCAAAACAAAGGAGTTAATACTAGTGGTAAACCCTTTAAAGATGTGGGACATACATGCTTTGGGGAAACATTTTTTGTACATGCTAGGGATGGTGACAAGACAGTCCCACAAGCATGTTGCTTTTCAGCCTATACCTGTAAACAGGCTGGAAGCTTGGCACAGCAGCAAAAGCATAACAGGCCCATGCTGCTGTGTGGAAGGGGAAACTGAGGCACACTGCCTCATGGCACTGGTGGTTAAATGCCTAGACACCTACACTTTAACTGTTATTGCTGTCTGCATTCTGTTAGCAATACTACACCCCAACATGTTTTCAGGCACCCAGGGACCAGGAACCCCAAACCTTGCTAGAACACCTATGAATGACATCATACGGTTTAAAGGTACTGAAAGGGAGCGTGACCAGAGACAAACAGGTATTTTACACGTACTGCCTCCACCATGGACAGTGTCTAAGTCTCTGACAGTAAGTTCAGGAGGAGGGTGTGATGTTGCATCCCATAATGCTTTACAGAAATATGTTTATGAGTATAAATATGACATAACTGGAATGTGTTTTATGCTAGATATGCCATGTAACATATCTCTGCAAAGGTTATGATCTACTGGATATATTCATCCTATTTGTATGCATGTATCATTATTGTATTTGAAGTTATTTAATATTGGCTATGTACTTGTTTGATTTTAAGTAGCCTCAGTGAAGCAGTTGGTCAGCTTCTTGAGAAAAGACTATTCTCAATAAGTGCCCAATCAAGGAACACTTAAGCTAACAATGAACTTTGAGAGATGCCAATCCACATCTGAGCTTTCCTGGGAATGTGGTGTCAGCCTGTAAAGAACTGAGTCGTGCATGGACATGTGACTTGCCCATGTGACTCCAAAACTCCATCTTGGAGCTGGATTGTTCACAGGAGAGGGGAAGGGGTTTCCACCCACAAGGGAGAGACTATTTAAGCCCCTGGGGAAACCTCTCCATTTTGTCTTCAGCTGGCTCAGAAGATATTCTTTGGAGTGGAGAGGCTATCTGAAAGAAACCGGAACAAAGGACAGTAACTACAGGGGCGTGAGTGATTGCTGGCTCCTAGAAGGAGGCTAGTCTGTAAAAGAAGCTTATTGGAACATCTCTGAGGGTGAGATTTCATCTGTAATCACTTTCGTACTGTATTAGGCTTAGACGTGCGTGTTTTATTTAATTTTGTTTGGTAATTTACTTTGTTCTGTCTGTTATTACTCGGAACCACTTAAATCCTACTTTTTGTATTTAATAAAATCACTTTTTACTTATTAATTAAGCCAGAGCAAGTATTAATACCTGGGGGGGTGCAAACATCTGTGCATATCTCTGTATCAATGTTATAGAGGACAACAATTTATGAGTTTACCCTACTTAAGCTTTATACAGGGTAAAACGGATTTATTTGGGGTTTGGACTCCACTGGGAGCTGGGAATCTGAGTACTGGAGACAGGAGCCTTCTTAAGCTGTTTTCAGTGAAGCCTGCAGCTTGTGGGGAACGTGGTTCAGACTTGGATCTGTGTTTGCAGCAGGCAAGAGTGTCTGGCTCAAACAAGGCAAGGTAATGAAGTCCCAAGCTGGCAGGGAAAACAGGCTTAGAGGTAGTCTAGGCACATCAGGTGGCAGTCCCAAGGGGGTCTCAGTGACCGAACCCGTCTGTCAAGGTTCCTCCCCCACTCTGAACTCTAGGGTACAGATGTGGGGACCTGCATGAAAAACCTCCTAAGCTTATCTTTACCAGCTTAGGTCAAAACTTCCCCAAGGTACAAAATATTCCACCCGTTCTCCTTGGACTGGCCGCTACCACCACCAAACTAATACTGGTTACTGGGGAAGAGCTGTTTGGACGCGTCCTTCCCCCCAAAATACTTCCCAAAATCTTGCACCCCACTTCCTGGACAAGGTTTGGTAAAAAGCCTCACCAATTTGCATAGGTGACCACAGACCCAAATCCTTGGATCTGAGAACAATGAAAAAGCATTCAGTTTTTTACAAGAAGACTTTTAATAAAAAAATAGAAGTAAATAGAAATAAAGAAATCCCCCCTGTAAAATCAGGATGGTAGATATCTTACAGGGTAATTAGATTCAAAAACATAGAGAACCCCTCTAGGCAAAACCTTAAGTTACAAAAAAGATACACAGACAGAAATAGTTATTCTATTCAGCACAATTCTTTTCTCAGCCATTTAAAGAAATCATAATCTAACACACACCTAGCTAGATTACTTACTAAAAGTTCTAAGATTCCATTCCTGGTCTATCCCCGGCAAAGACCCAGCATACAGACAGACACAGACCCTTTGTTTCTCTCCCTCCTCCCAGCTTTTGAAAATATCTTGTCTCCTCATTGGTCATTTTGGTCAGGTGCCAGCGAGGTTACCTTTAGCTTCTTAACCCTTTACAGGTGAGAGGAGCTTTCCCCTGGCCAGGAGGGATTTCAAAGGGGTTTACCCTTCCCTTTATATTTATGACACGCCCCCCAAATCTCAGCTAGGGTGAAACACTGGCTGGGATTTCTTCCTGGAGCTCTAGGAAAAACAGAGTTAATAAGACACATGCATCTCTAAATATACTACCAAGTACATAAAGACTAACAATATTTTCCACATCTCAAGGACGATTTTAACCAGTTGATTCTGGGAAACTTTCACGGGAGAGTGCATCAGCCACTTTGTTAGAAGCTCCTGAGATGTGTTGGATGTCGAAATCAAAATCTTGGAGAGCTAAACTCCACCGAAGAAGTTTTTGTTAGTTTCCTTGACGGTGTGAAGCCACTTCAGTGCAGCATGGTCGGTTTGCAGGTGGAAACGCCGTCCCCAAACATATGGGCGTAGCTTTTCCAGAGCATAGACAATGGCGTAACATTCTTTTTCAGTGACTGACCAGTTGCTTTCCCTCTCAGACAGTTTTTTGCTGAGAAACACTACAGGGTGGAATTCTTGATCAGGTCCTTTCTGCATTAAAACTGCTCCCACACCACGCTCGGACGCATCTGTGGTTACTAGGAACGGTTTGTCAAAGTCTGGGGCCCTTAGTACAGGGTCAGACATGAGTGTCGCTTTAAGCTTGTTAAAGGCCTTCTGACACTTTTCGGTCCACTGAACAGCATTTGGCTGTTTCTTTTTGGTTAGGTCTGTCAGTGGGGCGGCGATTTGGCTGTAGTGCGGTACAAATCGTCTGTAATAACCGGCCAAGCCTAAGAAGGATTGAACCTGTTTCTTTGACTTTGGGACAGGCCACTTTTGGATAGCATCCACTTTGGCCTGTAGGGGGCTGATAGTTCCTTGACCCACCTGGTGTCCAAGGTAAGTCACTCTGTTTAGGCCTATTTGACACTTCTTAGCCTTAACAGTTAGTCCTGCCTCCCTTATGCGCTCAAGGACTTTTTGTAGATGTTCCAGGTGGTCTGCCCAGGAATCCGAAAATATGGCCACGTCATCAAGGTAGGCGACTGCATATTCTCCGAATCCCGCTAGGAGACCATCTACAAGTCTTTGGAAAGTGGCGGGTGCATTTCGCAGCCCGAAAGGGAGTACATTAAATTCATACAGCCCGAGATGTGTGGTGAAGGCTGACCTTTCCTTGGCAGATTCATCTAGCGGTACCTGCCAGTACCCCTTGGTTAAGTCCAAGGTAGAGATGAACTGGGCCCGTCCCAGTTTCTCTAATAGTTCATCTGTGCGTGGCATTGGATAGTTGTCTGGGCGAGTTACAGCATTTAGCTTACGGTAGTCCACACAAAAACGTATTTCCCCATCTGGTTTGGGAACTAGAACCACTGGAGATGCCCACGCACTTTCAGAGGGGCGGATTACACCCATCTGTAACATATCCTGGATCTCCCGTTCTATAGCAGTTTTAGCTTGAGGAGACACCCGGTAAGGTTGGACCCTAATTGGGTGAGCATTACCTGTGTCAATGGAGTGGTATGCCCGTTCAGTCAGTCCTGGGGTGGCTGAGAACGTTGGCGCGTAGCTAGTGCACAGCTCCTGGATCTGCTGTCGCTGCATACGCCCAAGGGTCATGGAGAGGTTCACCTCTTCCACACCACCAGCACATTTCCCTTCG